AATCACTACTGTTCCCGCATTGGTGGCGATTAATTTACAGTGCGAGGGATAAGCATGTTAAACTGCACCTCAGTTGCAGTTTAGTGTCTTAAACTTTTCAAAACTAGACAAAGCCTGTGACTGACTGCATCACAGTATTAGCGAGTGCTGACCCCTGCAACATCACGCTGGTTTTGTCAGTCTTCATGGGCATTTTTTTAATCGAAGGAGAAAAAGAATTCAGAAAGAAAAATTACTCAACTTTAGACAAACTTATAATTCCAAAATAAAAGCTTAAAACCCACCAGCACGTAACGTCTAAGAAAAACTATCCCCTGTAGTGTTGAATCCTCTCTGGTTTGGAGTCTGCCCCGACTGTGCGAGGGAATGCAAAGCTAAAACACCAGGAGCCACAAATAGGCTTTGGGAAAACATCTCCTCCCCCAAAGTAGTAAGACTCCCCTCACCTCCAAAGGAGGAGCACTGAACAAGTACGTGATCTACACCTCAACAATGAAAAAAGGAACAAAAACCCCCCCAAACTCACATGTTGTGGCTGCATCCTCACTACCTTCTGTCAGGAATTTATATAGCTTTCCTGGAGTGCAACTGATTTTAACATGACACTATCTGACGTAATAGTCATAGTAAGACCCACTTATAATCTTATTCTGAATAAGAGACAAATTTACCTGCAATGGTAGCATTGAAGTAGAACAGTTTAGTTCTATGCAGTTTTCTGTAATAAGGAGAAAAATTCTCTTTTGCCCTTCTGCTGTTGAAATGGCACTTTTGGTTCCTTTAACTGTGGAAAAAATAATTTTAACTCAGAGGAAAACTGGCCACACTTTATCTCTGAGCTGATTTCAGTTATCTGGTTGCCTAAGGGCACAGAAAGAAGAAATTAGAAAACCTTTAAATGTGCAAGTCTAGAACAGTAAATCTTAAAATGCACTTGTTGAAAAAAACTGCTCCCTCTCCCATCCGACCCGAAACCAAAGTGATCCAGGTACCTTCACTTTGTTTCCCTGACGTGCGGGTCAGTCGCTGTTGCCCTGTAGGAAACACTAAGTTCAGGAGAGGAGCTCTTTGGCTTTGAGGTCCCGCACCAAGTCAGAGCAAGCAGTGGTGGTTTGCCGCAGGAGGAAAACCCTGCACAGGGGGAAGCAGGAGCTTTCCTCTGCCATAAAAAATAACAGAATTATTTTATTGTGAGACTTGTGCCTAACCTCCTCCCCAACCACGGGATATGAAAGACTGAACAGAACCCCCAGCATATCCACCTCAAACATGTTACCTACAGGTAGTTTAGGACCTGTGGGGTTTTTGTTTTTTTAAAATGATTTCTCCTCTAAGGTTAGTGCTGATACAAGAGCCTAGTTTTCCCTTCCAAAGCAACTCCCAGAGACCTGAATGACAATCAAAGTGTCCGAGAAGACTGGCTCCCTGCTGCTCGCAGAGGTGGATGCTACTGCTGCATGGCAGAGAGGAAATGAAGACCACATCTGGAACAGATTAACGAATGCAGCTGTATGCTCCCAGCTGCCCTGGCAGCAGCAGGGCTTTCCCCAACACCCTCCTTAAAGGCCATACGCTTCATCATGTAACACAACTACAGCTGTACTCTCTCAGTATTTTAGGATCAAAGCATCTGCTATCTGTGTCCAGAGTATGAAAACTCAGCTCTCACACGTTCATTTCCATAGTGCCAAAAGGATTAAAGCCCATGTTTGTAGCAGGAAGCTTCTTGCTGTGTGTCTGAGATCTGGCCCCTTTGTTTTCTGATTTAAATAAATATAACGGTGCAATTAGGAGACCAGCGCACACAGGGAAAAAAATAACTTACTTGCAAATAAGGCATAAATATTTGCTGTCACCACAACAGTAAATACACTGGAAAAGCAAGTTACAATGAGGGGTCTCATAAGCTGAAAAGGCAACCAGGTTGTCTGAACCACACTGTAGCCAAATTTCAGTGCTCAGCTGAGAGAAAGCAAGCTGCAGCCACTCGCTAGATTTCTGTATCGCTACTGGCTGAGGAAGTCAGCTGTAACAAGAAAGAATACAGGGTGCCACCTTTGCTGACGCTCATTCTTTTTGCTGCAAACTTAAGAATTACACTTCTGTCTCCCAGCAAGCTGTATAGCAGCCTGCAGTAGTAAGCATGGAGTCGTGTCTAGGGAGATACTGGGTAAATGAACTCGGGCACAGGAAAGTGAGAACAAAGCTCGAATGCCTCTGCAGAAATTGCACTCAAAACATTGCTCTGCCGAGACCAAAGCCCAGAGGTACCCGCACTGAATGAACAAAAGAAAAAAGGCTGGAACTGACACGCACCAGTGGAGCTGTCTTGGGGGAAAAAGAACAACAGATGGGGCCAGCAGAATTCCCTGACTGCTCTCATCCGGGAGCACAGGCTGCATCAGCCTGGAGGCATCTTGCCAGGGAGCAGGAGAATGTGCCCGCTTCCCTGTCGTCAGCAACAGCTGGGGAGTTGCGACCGTACCCGCAAACTTTTGCTCCACTGGTGGGCGTGAGCCCCAGGGGCTGCGTACAGTACAAAGCAGCAGGAGGACCAATGTTGAAAATTACAGCACCCATGAATTGCAGTGTAGCTTAACCACCTTCGCCAGCTACACTGAGCATGCTTAAAATCAACAATGCAAATGCTTTTAAGGACACTTCATAAGCACAAAAATAGTAGAAACAAAACTTTGTGAACAATTTGAAAGATACAAAAAAGTGCCTTTCCATAGCAGTGCTTTAAAAATGCACACAATGGTATATATACTCTTATTGCTCAAAAAAACTAGTCTGAAATCTTAAAACAATTTCCAGAGGTGCTGAAACAGATTTTTAAAAAATCATATGAAACAGGTCAGCAGAGACAGCACCATTAGTTTTTCTCTTTTCATGATGCACTTATTTAAAACTCTATAGTTATAGACGTGTCATTTTTCCTCTCTAATTAGCAAAGCTTTTTTCCTATTCATAAATTATTCACAAAGACATTTATTTTATTATTTGGATTTTTTAAAAAACACTTTATAAAAAGAAAGGAATGGGGGACACTGTCACAATATTTCTTAAACCTATCAGCCTGAATTACTCTAATGAGAGATTGGTTTACATCTTTTTTTACACGCTTGAGGATACTGTCAGGTCAGGCTACTTCCTTTGTTTCGTTCTTTGGGGGAAGGAAAGCATCTCGAATTTGCTTTTGGAGGAAAGGTAAACAAACAGTAAAATCATTTCCCATCTGAGCCTTGTGACAGTATCCTCATGGTGACGAGGCAAGTTGTAACAATCGAAGATGGGGTAGGTACAGTCCAAGTATTTTAGTTACTTTACAAAGGCTGTGTAGCACTACCCGGTAATGAACGTGCATGATACATAAGACCACTTACGCTAACTACGCTACTTTATCACCATGTCCGAATAGGTGGGTGAGACTGTACGATCGAGCTACTGAAGTACAAGAAAAAGGACCCTAGTACTTGATCTGGTGATTGACTGTGAATCGGTGGAAACGAAAAAAACTAAGCAAATACGATAGTCCATTTCCTACTCATATGGACCCTTAAATTAAACTATTAGCAAATGTTATTGCCTCTCAAGGTTGCATTTTTTTCCAGTCTTCTCCCTTGACTGCTAGAAGTGCAACTTTGTAATTAACAGGTTTATGCACTGGTCAAAGTCTCTGGCGGGTCAAAGAAAAGAGAGAGAATTCCCACGGTGCTTGGCCTGAAATTACCAATCCCTTCTCTTTCTAGAAGGGAAAGCTTCCTGACAGTTTCTAATGAATTACAAACAATACTTTCTTTCAATGTTTCCAGATATTTGCTTTTGTAAAGATAATACATCTTACCGGGCACAGACAAGGTGAGACTGTACGCTGTGTATGTTTGTGCGAGAATGTAACACTCTCTACAGAAACCTACCTTTTCATTCAGGGAAAGAATTACACGTACAAGTGATGTATCGGCGTGGGTCAGCCTTGTGGGTCGGCATCAATTGCAGGAGTCCTGGCAGCTTTCAGAAGGGGTTAACGCAAATATATTCATCTTGAGCCACAGAAACAAGTGATCAAGCCTACTATAAAGTTAGAATGCATAATGGATTGGAATGATATATATTTATCCGACTTACCGCATGGACAAATAACCTTGAAATAATTTGTAGCAGTGTATATTTTTAAACTGTTTGGAAGGGAGGGGGAGGCTCTTTATAGTATAAATATATTTCACTCCAGCCCACTATATATAAAATCTATTTTCTTCCCCAGAACATACTAATTTTCAGTAGTATTATGACCAGAATGTTTTGGTATGTTGCAGCTGTACTTCTCAATCAATGGACAACGTACAGTTACCAGCAGAACGCTTCAGCCCTGCACCACTTACCCACCACAAACTGCCAAGAGGTTTGTGGGGGTTTTGGTTGGTTGGTTGGTTGGGTTTTTTCCTTCCTTTCTTTAAAGTGCCCCCTACATCTTCATCTTTGTGGTAAGATTTGACTAGTTGCAGAGTCTGATTCCAGATAATATAGTGACTGAAACAATAAATACGGTTCTACAAAAACATTCTGGTTATCTTCTATAATTGCGACGAAATATATCACAATATATTATATACCTACACTTATAATACATGCACAAACATGTCTCACATGGACAGACACTACAAAAAATTATCTCCCCCCCTCCCCTAAATGCAGAAAAAGTAAGAAAATGGAGTTTTGGTCCAATCCATATGAAGGGTAAAAGAAACTGAAATGGTAAGTCAATGCCTTTCTATCCACCTTTCCCCATAAAATATCAACACCCCCAAGCCCCCAACTTTTTTGGCCTAGCCATGAAAGGGGACTGTCTTTACACGCAGCCTTAGCTACAGTTTGAGATCACCTCTTTTGACGGGGCTATCATCCACGTCCCCACATTCTCTCCAAGTGTGCAAGGTCACAGGTCGGCCGATCACGGAGCGGCCCACAAGTCACGGAGAGCACCGGCCCCTGGGGACTGACTACCAGTCCCGAGACAGCTTGGTGTTCTGATCCCTTTTGGGAGGAGCGGGGGGTGGCCCCCTCCGTAACGTTGCATAGCCGGATATATGACTGCCCCCGAAGCTGCTCGTCTTCTGCTGGTCAGCCAGCAGCTCCGGCGGAGGCGGAGGCAGGGCCATGTCGTCCATGGTGGCTGTGGGTTCTGTTCTGGACATCCGCGCGGAGGAGAGGGAGCCGTGCCGGGTGATGGATTTCCGCTGCAGCGTCCGGTTGAGGTCTGCCAGGAATCCCGGCTGAACGCTAAGGCTGGACTTGGGTGAAGTGGGCACTTGAGGGCCAGCTGACCCTGGTGGCTCTGCGACCTCCGCCTGCGTGAGTCGAGTGCTGTCGTTCCGCTTGGGACGTGTGGGTGGTGGGGCTTTTTTCACAGATGGTTTTGACCATGCCTGAGGCTGGGGATTGACAACCGCGACTTTTGGGGAAGTGCTGCCTGAAAACACAGATGGGATCTCAACTGGTGGGAGAGGAAGATCTATTTCAGGTGGTGGTGGTGGAAAGTCTGAGTCGGATGGTGGTGAAGGGAATTCGACCACAGGCTCCTTCCCAGACACACCCAGAGCAGAAGCCTTGACTGGGATCCCTCCTTGTGGAAGGACAATGGGCAGGCTCACCCCAGAAAGGTTCAGCTTTCCTGGCTTTGGAGGGGCTGCAGGAGGCGATGACTCCTTGGAAGGAGACCCTGACGGCTCTGGTGGGTGTGCAAATTTGCTGACAAGGCGGTCCACTGAAGATCTCTTGGACTCATGGTACTCAGTGGAGCTGGTGGACTTGATACTGGAGTTTCGCTGAGGTGTTGGAGGTGGTTTCTTCCCTCCGGGGCTTGATATCTTGCTGGTCTTTTTGACTGGAGACCCTGATTTGTCAGGGGGGGGAGAACCTGCAGAGGAAGCTGGGGAAGGAGGTGGAGGAGGAAACACTAAGCTGCTCTCTGGCGGAGGAGGGGGGAAATCTGGGGAGGGAGCAGAAGCAGGCTGCCATTTGGGCTTTGCCTTCACTGCTGGAGGCGACTGTGGAGCCACGCTCAGTGGAAGGGGTTTCAGAGGCTGGGGCTCAGTGGCAGGTGGGGTGGGAGGAGGTGGGAACTGGCTAACTATCTGTTTCACCACTGACGGCACTGGGGACTGAGGGGATGGAGGAGGCTTCACAGAGAAACTCTGCTGCTTTGGGAACGTTGGCGGGGGGGTGGGGCCAGGGGGGGCAGGGGGGAGGGG